AAATATAAGAATATTTCTTAAATTACACATGGTGTATATACACATGATTTGTAATAAATAAATTTTAATAAAAAAAAAAAAAAATTTTTTTTTAACTTTAAGGTTAGGACGAGACTTGAGATTTTAGCCAAGAGTTATATATATGCAAAATTTAGCAAGGAATTTTTTTTACTAATACCCCAAAAACAGTTTCATAAACGAAGTTTCGAGATATTGGCATTTTTTTAAAAAAATTCTGTTTTTTGTTACACACCTGATCTTAAATTTTGATTGGCTTTTCTAATGAGATCGTGTAACATAGTGTACAAACACTAACGTACAAATAGCAATTCTCATATAAAAAATATCAAGCCCGCATTATGCAAGCTGGCCAGAATTATGCTGGCCGGCCCGAATTATAAAAATTACACTGCGCAGTCTCTCAAAAATTCTGCGCAGTAGCCCATCCCTAGTCATGCCTCTGGCGAGAAGCTTAAAGAAAGTATATGAATTACTCGTAACACTTGATGGTGACTTACAATTTACCGAATAGTCCATAACATTCGGTGGTGACTGATAATTCTGCCCGTAACATTACCCTTATAGTAATTGATCATTAAACCCCAGTACCCTGTTAACTATTGGAGCTAAACAGGACATTACTAAACGCTCTCCCAATCTACAATAGTAACAATTAGTGATGGGCAAATCGCGGTTTTTCCAAATATCCCGCGCGGGATGCGCGTGATAGAGATTACCTTGCGGGTTAAATTTTGTTAATGCGGGCCGGCTAGCCTGAATTAGGGAACATATTAAAAATCACGCGCGGGATCCAAAAAATCACGCACATTTTGCGCGCGTGATCCCGCGCGGATCCTGCGCATGCCCATCACTAGTAACAATATCCCCAATCGTCTATTTCATAGTATTGTTGTAATAAGTTTGTTTGATTATGATCGAGTGACAAATGATAAATAAAGTATCAACATTACAAATTGTATCGAATACTTGGTTCACGTATCTAAACGACATTTAAATCACGGAGAGACTGCACCTCTATAAATGCATGGACTACATAGGTTCTTTCTAAATGCACTTTTTTTTTTAAAAAAAAAGTCCCTATTAAAATATGAAAAGTTGAGTTATTGAAACTTACTCAAAATTACAGTAATTTTCCAAATGTCGTAATTAGTTTTACCATATTTAATATGGTGGAATGGCATAATATAGTATAATGCTGCAATTCAACTATCCCTTTTAACCAATCAAAGTTTATATTAAAAAATTATTCTTAAGCGCAAATTTGTTTCTTAACTAAATATTAATAGCAAATATGTTTGCAATTTTATTTGGTTATATTCTAAAAAATTATGTAGTTTTTAGTTTTTTTTAATATGTTTATTATTTTTTATACTGACAAAAGTTTTTTGGTTTTAAATTATTATTAGCTATAACATAATTATCTTATATCAACTGAAATGAGCTTGTTGTTTGTGAAACAAGCTTGTCGGTGAATTAATTTTAGGTCTAAACAAAGTGAGCCAAAAAATTATTTGTTATGTATCTTTTTTAGATTTTAAAAACAAATAATTTCTAAAAAGTATAGTATAAGCTTTATTTATTTATAATAACTTTTATTATTTATTATAACATTTATTATAGAGATGTGAACTGTGAATTACAGTACATATAAATAAACTGTAGTTTATTTTAAAACCACAGTTTTACAATAAACTACAGTTTATTTATATTAACTACTAGTTTACGGATCGCACCTTTGATTTATTATATAAATATATAAGCTTTATTTATTTATAATAACTTTTATTATATAAATTCTATTAAACAGCTTTTCTTTATATTCACCTCCGCACCAAATATATTACTTTTAAAGCATATAAGATATTTTTTAAGTGTTAATAACTTGATTAGCATATCTTTCATATGCAGGAATTTCTTTAACATTTGTGTTGTTTTTGTAATATTTTTTACAAAAAAAACCAATAACAAATAAAATTATTGATCCAATAATGCCTATTGAAACAAATAAAATTATTTTACCAGTTGAAAAATTTTCTTGATTCGTTGGAGTTCCATAATAATTTGTTGGAATTCCATCATGATTTGTTGGAGTACCTTGACTTGTTGTGTTAGATATATCAAATGATGAAATCCAAGAATAAGTTTCTGTATTGAAAATATAAATACTATTACTATATTCATATGGTATTGCTTTTCCTAGTGTAGTTGTTTTTCGACCTAAACATCAATATGAGATGTACTTTAAAAAATTATTTACGGTAATCAAATAATTTAACATTAACACTAATAATTACCGAATGCTATTATCATATAAATGCCATATAAATTTGCAGAGTGACGAAAAAGTGATGGTGGTGCATTTACTGTAGAAATTGTTGGAATAGACCATAACCAGGTATTTGTATTTAAAATTGCAAGATCAGGATAAACTTGACCAGCATCTGATGAACCTCCATAAATAATAATATTTCCATCTTTAACTGATTAAAAAAGAAGTAATGAAATTAATTTTTGTATCTATATACCTGAGCATGGCAATTAAACAACAAATATTTATACAGTATCTTCTTACTTAAAACTGCGGTGTGCCCAACACGTTTTTGAATCGTAGCACCGCTAGCAGTCTTAAACAAATGTGAAAATGTAAGTTAATAATTATGTATATTAAGCAAATTATTAAGTATATTTACTTTATCAGACCAGACTAAAGATTTTGTATCAAATATGAGGATCTATAATTGTGTCATCATATTAGTAAGTAAACAAATAAATTAATAGACACTTAAATGTTAATAACCATACATTATTTATATTAACATTTAGAAATGCAGATGATGGTGTTGGTTTATTATCACCACCAATATAAATAATTTGACCATTCGGCAATAATGTTGCAGTATAATCAATACGAGAAATGACGTTTGCAGGTAAAATAATTGTTTCCCATGTCATTGAAAAAGTATCGAATATGTTCATATCATAAAATAAATTGCCTCTTGCAGTATCGTTACCAATACTGTAATCAGTTCCGCCAAGGATATAAACTTTTCCATTACCATCGATAACAGCCTTTATCTCATTACGAGCAATAAAAGAACTATTAAATCCACTAATAATTGGTGTGGTCCATTGTGAATTTATAGAATCAAATTTGTATACTGCAGAATAATTTGAAGTCATCCTTCCACCTATTAAAAAAATCGATGAATTATCAATTGTACTTGCGCATGAAGCGGCTAAATTATCACCAACAGGCATTCCAACTGGAACATTTTTAAATGGAGGCGTAGATATATTGAATATGCTTGACAAGTCAATATAGAACAATTCATTAGAAGAGTTTGCAGTTTGCGTTCCTCCACCCAAAAGATAAAGCTTATTATTGATCAGAGCACTTGAATGTTTATATCGACCATCTGGAATAATATCTTGACAATTTATAGATAAAAATATGAAATAATATGAAATAAAATAAATAAAAAGACTTTTTTGAAAACTAATCATATTAAATTAAATTATAAATTCTTAAGTTCTTGTTACTCTGTTAATCATAAAGGATTATTCAGGGCAAAGACAAATATGAATAGTGATTCAACTCCTATACATACGTAATACGTAGTAATATGTACATAGTTATACAAATAATATACACGAACGAAGATTATATGACTATGTTGTATGTGAGTACGTAATTAATGTTGTGTTACGAAAATTACAATTTTGTGTAATTGAAATGCCATGAACTAAGTCACGAGGCAGTCATTTGTCACGAGATCAGTAACCAGATCAGTGACATAGACTAGTAGTGTATAAGATAGTAGTTAAAGATATGGAATTGCATTATGCATTGGGTAAGTATGAGGTAATGGGTAAGGTTATATAAGAGAAGTATGGGGGTAATTAGTAAGGTTATATAAGAGAAGTATGGGAATTTTTTTTGTTTCCATTTTTTTTCTTTGCTGCAAGCTCGATGCAAGTCTAGCTTTTATTAATCCCTCACGCCCACCCAGTTAGCACAGTTCAGGTGGGTAAATGTGGTAGCCCGATTGGATAAGTCGGATGCCAGATAGTAACAGGATAGCCCGGCTGAACAGGCCGGATATCATGTAGAGGCAATAGAAAATAGGAGTAGGATAGGTAGAAAATTAGTAAATGAGAAAAGAATAGAAAAGAGTGATATTGTATTTCATAGTATTGTTGTTTGTTTGTTTGATTATAATCGAGTGACAAATGATAAATAAATAAAATATCGACATTTAAATCACGGAGAGACTGCACCCTCTATAAATGCATGGACTACATAAGTTCTTTCTAAATGCACTTTTTTTTTAAAAAAAAAAAAGTCCCTATTAAAATATGAAAAGTTGAGTTATTGAAAATTACGGCAATTTTCCAACTCTACTTATGTCGTAATTAATTTTACCATATCTAATATGTTAGAATGGTATAATATAGTATAATGCTGAAATTCATTAACTATATCCGTCCGTAAAAGTGGGAATCCCTTTTAACCAATCAAAGTTTATATTAAAAAATTAATTTTTTTGCAAAATAAAATATACTTAAGCGCAAATTTGTTTCTTAACTAAATATTAATAGCAAATATGTTTGCACAAAAATTTGTATTATTTTGTAATTTTATTTGATTATATTCTAAAAAAATTATGTAGTTTTTAATTTTTATACTGACAGAAGTTTTTTGTTTTTAAATTATTATTAGCTATAACATAATTATCTTTATATTAACTATATGCCATTTAAAACTTTGGAAAATTATTGAATTACTAAGATATTAATATGACAAATAGTTAAAATTAAAGCATATTAAGCTTTTTTAATTGTTAATAACTTAATTAGCATATCTTTCATTATCATATAAAGGAGTCTCTTTAACAACTTAATTAGCATATCTTTTGTCATCATGTACATGAATTTCTTTAACATTTGTGTCGTGTTTTTAATATTTCTTATAATAATGCCTATTGAAATAATATAATTATTTGATTTGTTGAAATATATTTATTTCCTGTTGAAAAATTGCCTTGATTTGTTGGAGTTCCTTGACTTGTTTTATTAGATATATCAAATGATGAAACCCAGGAATAAGTTTCTGTATTGAAAATATAAATACCATTACTATATACATATGTTGTAACTACTTGTGTGGTTTTTCAACCTAAACATAATTATGAAATTAATAGAAAATAATTTAAGTCAACATTTAATTTTAGAAATAATAATTACCGAATGCAATTGTCATATAAGGGAGATTGAGGGGTATTGTGGCCACCCGAAGTATCTTATGATCTATCGTTCCAAATCAAACAATTTTTATACCATTCGACTCGTCTCATTGAGACGATTCGAATGGTATAAAAATTGCTTAATTTGAATCAGGGCACAAAATTTCCGGATGCCGGAAGCTGCGGTGTTTATTTTAGCCGGAACTTAGAAAACTCAGCCGATGTAGCAGTTTTTTAATAATGTTACCGGCGGAAATATCAACCAACAAACAACAACAAAATGATCCGACTCTGTCGGTCCGGAATCAAGTTTCTTGC